CAATCTTAAACTTATAATTCGACTGCCCCAACAAAGAAAGACGTAACTCATTTTTACAAATTTTGAAATCCAGAAAAACAGAAACACCACATTGAAAAAAAAATGTGAGTTACGTCCTTCTTCATTGGGGACGTCGAATAATTGGGATGATCCATTGGGTTGAAGTCAATATAAACAATAAAAATAATTACGATGTACCAACATAATATATTAATGATGAGGATGACAAACAAAAAAATTAAATCACAGTTAAAATTTAAGATATTATTCAATTTTTGCCTTTTAGCGTGGGGTGGCCAGATAGAAAAAATCTCTGGACCCCAGAATACTGTTGGGTAGCTAGATTGACCGGATCAGGAGTGGAGTGTCTTTTAAATTAAAATATAAGTTTGTTGAAGTTTGAACAGCAATATCAATTATTTGCTTATAACATATGAATACCCGCAGTCCTGCCATTTATTATAAAATTATTATATCATCACTAATTTATTTCTGTTTATTTTACTGTCCGATGTATTTTAAATTATAAGTATAAATGCTCTGATAACTAATCTTAAAAAAAATTTGTGTTTATATATTTATAATATATACAAGCTATACTTATGAATCAGAATGAAACCAACATGAATATTGAATAGGTATTGAACATGTATTGTATACTACACCAATACATCAACATCATGATTATTGTAAGCTGTACATTAATATTTAATAGTGATTTTAGGTAGGTTTTTTTCTTTAATTCATACTAATCATTTCCCTACAGTTTAGCTCACTAATTATTGAATTTTATTGTATTATTATAATATTATGCATTACGAGCCTAAATTTTACGATTATGACAGCAGTACACGCGCAATAGTGTTTCGGAGCAACTATTTTGTATTACGATGGAATGCTCGTAATATAACTATATGAAATTTCTAACAATACCTAATAAATAATAATAATAATAAAAAAAACACGTTTTTGCGTTGTGTTTACGTGGTGAGAAATGTATTTTACATTATTACTTATTACGAATTAAGAACTTATATGATAAAAGCATACGAATATACGATACTAATCTAATAATGGATTACGAATAATATTACTCATAAAAATATAAAATTTTAAATAGTTAGCAATGTAACCCGTCGAATGGCGAAACGTAATGAGAAATGACGTTATACTTTGTAATAGCTGGTGCCTCCGTGTTATTATGATGCTCGTTGTATTCAAACTATATTACCTTTGCATATTAAATATTATTATTATAATAATAATATAAACGTTGGATATTGTTTATTTGTTTCATTTTTATATATTACTAGATATGGTGACTGGCCCATTACTCATTAGTGTAAATGGATTTTATCAAACTCCTTTTCGAGCTAGATAGATGGTCGATAATTTCATGGAAAATAAAGAGTTAAAAATAGTTAAAAAGAGTTAAATAAAGACTTTGTATTGGGGACTTTTTTCCGTTCCCTAACAGATTCATACGACGGTGCAGCACTAGTTGGCGGTAAAATGATTTCATCTGTCATTCGCTATCTATAATCTAAAACTATACCTAACCTTAGCTAGTTGTCTACAACAATTTTGATTATAACCGAGAAAATATTCTTTCATTATCTATGACCAATTTCAAATTTGTTTTGAACATAATCTTGTTATTTAAATTCGGTAATTTGTATATTTGTATTGATAATCAAAAAACCATATAATTGATAAGATATTAAAAAAAATACCTTTTTTGTATACTTTATTAAGTTTGAAGTTATAGTTATGACTTATGAATTTCATAGTCATTATATCATACGGTGCTATAATTCAAGTAAAAAAAAAAAGCCCTAGGGGGGTAATCGCCACGTCGCTCCCCCTTCAAATCCGCCACTGTGTTAACTGTATAGATAAATGAACTATGATTATGAAAAACTTTCGTAGTAGGTACGACAAGACAGAGGCTTGTGCACGGGGGCAGCAGAGGTAGCAATATGCTGCACCTAAACTTTTTTGGGGCTACCACGGCCCGCAAATATTGAATAATGGGCCTCGATAAAATTATACTTCCACATAATATACATTTTTAATTTTTTGAGTAAACGTAAACTATAAATAAATATTTTATGATTATAGAATTTACCATAAATCAAATCGACCTGTCTTCTATGAAAAAAAATTGTCATTATTTTAAATTGTAAATATTATTACCATTTATGGCAAAAAAAAAAACCGAAAAAACCAATACAATTTTAATTTTTATACCTCATATTATTGTAATTTGTACAACAATAGTAAAACTACGGATGGATTGAAGGTGAATTTGGAGAATGGGCAGAATTAACTTCTTGCTGCCCCTGAAACCACGACAAGAAATTCCGAACCAAATGTCTCTTATGAACCATAGCGAAAACAAAGTGAAAACCGAGGAAGCCACTCTGCTGTATAGACGTATAGTAAACTTTGTCATTGAAACTATAATGAATGCGTAACATTTTAATTCAATGATAAATCATTGTATACGATGTAAACTTATTCTGACTTAACCTGTCAGTTTATATTTCGAAGGAAATTATTTTTGCCTTGTATCTATATTGCTATAAGTTATTTATTTTTTATCAAATTTTTTCCAAAAAAAGTTGTATACCATAAATAGTAATTATTACTCAGCTGTTATTATCTTATAATAGTCATCAATACTGAGGTATCGCACTCGTAGACCGTGCGGTTTAAGTATAGGTGCTACACCTTTTTTAATATTACAGTAAAAAAAACTTATGAAGAACTTTGTATTATATTTTTAAGTATTTTTATTTTTTAGGGACAAACTTTAGTTTTAAGACAACAGCTTATGCTCTTGATAATAATAAAGAAAAATAGTCCTATTTTCGATAGTTTTCCAAATTGTTGAATAACTTTTGAAAAATTACCTCTCTGGAGTACCAAGATGAGGCGATTTTTAATCGAAAGAGGCATAAATATAATTTTTGGACCAGTATATTCCACCCAAAAGCGTGTACACTGTACATAGAATAATTAAATGTACATTTTATTTAGACGTGTAAAATAAGTATTATTGTTTTTATTTTCGAGGAGCTTCAGCATCGAATGAATTATTTTGGGGATTAAGCCTAGCAGGGGACACCCAGACACGTACTGATGCTAGTGATTATGAGAAAGCAATATTGTTTGTGTGGTTAAAAAATAGTTAACTAAACTAAATATATCGAAACAAAGTCTATACTTGTTGATAGAAAAAATAAAATAAATATCAAGCAAATTAGGTAGGTATTGCTTGAAAGTTGATATTAATATAGGTATACCACGTAGAGTAGCGCTGAACCAAATTTTGATCATTAGTTACACGAATGATACACACAATAATGTTACAATGTTACAATGTTTCTTGCTTGTCTTTATAAATTATTATTATAATATACATCCACACAATATTTTATATTTCACCACTAAATAATATTATTTGATAGCTTAGGGAAATAGAACTATAAGTAATCAAATGAGTTATTATATTTTGTTGGGCATGGGTAATGTAAAAAAATACTAGATTTAACTTTTGTGGTATTAACTAATTACCTAACTAATCGTGTAGGTATCGGTTAGGGTACTCGCGGTATACGTCTTGTAAACGACTAGAATGGGTTCCTGGTAAAATACATTATAATATTATTATACCGTAGGTATGTGCGTGTTTAATGACTAATACCCATTATAAATATTACTATTAACATTGAATATAATTATTTATAAATGCTAGTATTTATATTCAATGCTATATGTATAGTATATGTCATTAGACCCGGTAGTGTGGTTGTGGTATAAAGTATAAACTGGACAACAGACTTCGTCGTTCGTAAAGCGCATCGTATTGTATTGTATGATTAATTCGCGAACTTCTGAAGTTAAATTCTGCATTGTGCACGGTTGTATGGACTAGTGGACTGCCTACTTCAAATTTTCGATTAGGTAGGTGTAAATAATAGACTGATTGTGATATAAATATAAATTGTGCCCATACATTTTATTTTCTATAGTTTTATAGATAACTGCAAGGTACCTACAACTTATCGAGAATCTTGTATTCATTTAATTTAAGGTTTTTTACTGAGCATAAAAGTTTTTATCAATATTTATAGAAAAAAAACTAAAACATTTTAACATTTTGAAAATTAAAAAATGCCTAGAAAATGCTCATACAAAATTCAAGTGTAAGGTTATTTAGTTTTGAATATTAAAACACACTATAATAACATTTATATTGCATTCAAATGTTCGTAAAAAACTTCAATAAAGTCGATAATCTAGTTTAATAGGCAGGCCATTATTTTTTATGTCAATAATATGATATCACATTACAATAATGGACGGTTTTTGTTAAGGTTACCTACCTAGCGAACACGTTTGATTGTATAATCGGTTTAAGAACTAAAGTTCGTCCAAAACCCGTTATTTTTTAAGACTTGTAATTTTATTATAATATTATTTCGCTTATAAAGTTATCGGTGTGGTGTTTTTCCATTGCCGTTATATTAGTATTATAATTAGTTTTGTCATTTTCCCCTACAACATCGACCTTGGGATGAAAATGAAAAAATACTGGTTGAATTATTAGATTATCCATCATAAACTTTATTCCGACAAGGTTTTTCATTAAATATGCACCCAAGCCACGTGACCGGACTTGCGATTTTCCGAGGCGGAATTGTAAACATCGCGATTTACTATCACGCTGTGTCGCTGTTAGGATTATATTTTTTAGGTTCAACATAGTACATACTATTATTCTATTATTCCATTATTATTAGAGGATGCTCTAAAGTCTAAAGGGTACTTAAAAATACAGAAATACTCCTTTTATAAAAAATAAAATAAAATTTAAATTCTCGTGTAATGTATAATATACAGACGTATAATATATAAATTGTTTATTTGTTTAATAGTCGATTAAATTTAGGAATCAAGACCTATTCGGCATGATGTCATACGACGTTACATACCTCTCTCGTTCGACACTTTTATTGGGTTGGCGATCGATTGCCTATCAACGCGCGAAGGATGATTGCAAGTGGCTTGGACGACGCCGATCAGCAGTACGACGGCAATCGGCATCAACCAGCGGACGTTGGAAATGGCGGCGGACATGGTTTTGTCTGTATTTTGCTCTGTTGCAGGACGGAAAGGCCTTTCCGGCGACGATCGAGACGAGTAGAGGTGTACACGACGAGTGAGACGAGCGGCCGAAGGATCTCACGTGACTGACTGTGACAAGCATTCGAACGGCGAGCGGCGATCGCTCTTATAACGTGTGCGTGCGTGCGAGTGTGCGTGTGTGTATGTGTTGCGCAAACAACGAAGACGCAAGTACGGGAGTAGGGAATCGAATACATTTGACTAAAATCTTATCGTTCGGCCTTTGTCCGGTCCGATAAGACCATAATATTATACGATTAAGGTATTAAAAGGAATAATAATAATAATAACTAATATTGTAATAATGTGTTGTACAAAATAATATATTATATTTCTCTAGCGGCTGTAATGTTATATTGTAGTTATAATATTATTATCATGTTAAATTTTTTACATCGTTGGTCGTTGTTCCGATATAAACGAGACGACGGCAATAATAATAATAATCAACGCACACCTCCTCCGTCGCCTCTCACACCGCCACATCCCATGTCGCGGCCGCTTGTGGATTAATGCGTGTTTGTTTTACTATAGATATTATAATAATTTATCATGTTTGATTTAATTTGATTTTCTTTTACCTTTTACATTTATCGCGCTTACGCACACAACTCCAAGCCGACGAGGTTCCTGTACGCGACGACGCGTTCGAAGGTGAAAACCATAATAAAAGTAATAATAATGCAAATAAATAATAACAATACTGTAATGATCGACACGTCTCGTTTTCGTTAGAACCGAATTAATCGCGTGTGTGACCCAGTCAGTAATCGGTAAAATATAATTCGTAATAAAAAAGACAAGGGTAAAAAACGACACAGAATATATTTTGTTCTTAGTAGTAACATTTTGTAAAGTACCTAAATTTAAATGCTTACAAATTACAAATATATTTTTTGAGTCATTTGTTTTTATGATTTTTGTATAGGTATACTATACACTATCCGACATTAGTATTATATTTGTGATTTTTAAACATTCTAATAAGTGATTTTTGGACATAAATCACTATCATTTAAAAGACAAACATTAAATGCTTAGTATAATAATTAATAATATATCATGCCATTATGGTTGTCATCCGTCATTCAGCGTATAATTACCCTCATTATTATCAATTTGCCATAATATGCGGACCACTGGAGGTAACTCATAAGTAACCCAGCTATTATCTAATATATAATAATATACTCAATGGCCAATGCTATTATAGACAGTACACGCATAATATTATTATAAACCAAGAGCTAATAGTTCATAATTTATATAAGAAAATAAGTATAATATGCAATATTATGGTAGCCTGCCAGTATCGGCCTGGGCATGACCGGGGCCCCTCCGATTTTTTTAGGGACTCATACAAGTTTAATACAATCCATTATTCATTGATCCACTTGTAATCAACTGTACAGCAGAGCGACATCCACTTAGCCGCTTTTTTTTATTTTTTATTTGTTTAGCGTGTGCCTGGTCTGTATAGGGAGTAAGGACCCCGTATTTAGTATTTGATAAAGATTTTACATTTACTTTTGAAAGCTTACTTGAATAATATTTTGCATAGGTATGCATAACTGCATAAGCATAGCTTATGGATTTGTCTTCAATGTTAAAATTGTATAGGCAATATAAATATAATTTTGGTTTTCATAATTTCCTTTCTATGTAATTAATAATAATTTTTTATTATTTTTCAGTTTAAAATATTTCAGTAATTTCATAGTTTATTACTTAACGAATGATTCCCCTCGTTAGGCTTTGCGTTAAGTAATATTATACGTTGTGATTTTTTAAGTACCTGTGCTCACCTTATTTTTTACTTAAACTGTGCATATTATATTCAAATTCTCATTTTTAGAATTTCTAAATACTCTTGAAGATTTTTGAATACTTGAGATTTTTTATACCATTTAAGAATGATGTTGTTACAATACAAACATCTGTTTTTAAAATAGGAATCCTCTTTTTTTACTTTTAACAAAGTAAAAAAATTAATGTACATTTAGATACATCTACATTTACAAGAACATCATCTGGTAAATAATTTGCAGTAAAAAAGGAGATTCTCATTTGAAAAATATAAGTTTGTATAGCCACAGGACACTCTAATATTAGGACAAAAAATATCAGGTATTTGAATACAATATTATTGTCTTTAGGTTTAGGTGGTATACCTATACTTAAAAATTCTATAAATCAGAATTTGAATAAATGTATTTTTAAAGGAAAAAAGGTAGTGGGAATTTTTTCCCCAAAATGTCAAGTACATTTTGTATTTCATGATGGGGCCCATTAAAAACACTGATCCATGGGCCTTTTGTGTGCCAGGCCGACACTGTAGCCTGCTATCATAAAAATGACAGCCGGCGGTCATAACTCATAATTGTAATTGGCTCAATTGTCTCGGAAAGGTTATTTTTAATTTTCAAACATTTTAATGCATATTGAGCAAATATATAGGTAATAACCTATAGGTAATATAGATAAGTAAAAACACACACCACCGTGTCGTCTTTTTACTTGTGTTATTTTTCCTTGTCGTTTTTTCCCCATATTCGACCTAGACGCAGGTGGCATACAGAACATTATTATTATTATTATTTTATTTACGATATTATGCATAGTACCTATAATATTACAATTGCATAATGAAATGCCATCGGAACACCATAATAATTAATAACCGCCGCCGGATGTGATATACAATTATTGTTTGGAATTCGTTGTTTTATGGCTGTGATCGGTGGCGTACCTATATAATATTATTGTGTAATAAGTAATAACACATCGATATGTTAGGTATTCGCCTCTTGGGTTATATGCACTTCACATCACACTCGTTTCCAAATACTTACACGTATGCGTCGTGCCATGTAAGTAAATATAATACGGGTATACGGTAATAGGTACCTATGTTATTAATTGATCATATTGTCACCGTCGCGTTCCACCTCGTAAAATAATAATAAATATATGTAGGTACCTATTATCGTAATAAGGGTATAATTATACATAGTATTATCATTATACAGTAGTTGTACATTGTTGATCACACGCTCTGGCATTCTCGTCCCGTCCAGGCTACCATAATCATCGATACCTAATAAATAATAATAACATTAAAATATAAGCGTGAACAGACGAATAGTTTTCGAATACCTACCTAGTTATAGTCGGTGAAAAACGGTGGCGTTCGAAAGGTCATACACAATACACATAATATTATTATAAATTATATTCGTAATTTTTTTTTTTTAAGTAGCGTCGCTTTATCGGTGCGTGGTGTTTTAACTTGACTGTTATTACACCTATTATTATTATTTTCGCCATTTCCTACTGCTAAAATGACCTTGGGACCTAGCTACGAAAAGGAAAAAATGCGGGTTGAAATTAGATTATCCATCGTGAACGTTATTCCGGCAAGGTTTTTTGCCAAAAACTCAAGTCTCTTGTCACAGGAGTAGGGGACCTGGCCTTACAGCTGGAAACTATATACGTATTACCTATACACACCTATACTGATAAGTGATAAACTGTCGATTATTATGATGTTATTATTGCAAAACTTGATAAATATTAGTACTTGTTTATTGATATTTTTATTTGTTATTACACGAGTTTCATACAAATTATAATGGTTATTGACTTTAAACGAGTGACTATAGCAATAATTTATAGTTTTAGGTTAAGTACTAATTTTTTTATGAAGCCATACAAATGATACGTCTACATGTTTGAATTTCCAGTTTATATGTTTTAATTTATAATACAGCAATATATTATTTAAATTGTTAAATTACTGGTTTATCAGTAAACACATAACACTTTTCATATTTTATTGATTTTTTCTGTTTTTTAATTTTTTGCTGTATTGAGAAAATAGTATGTATTAAATAAACATTTGCTCTAACAGTCATATTCCTATCCAATCCATTAATTCAAATACAATATTATTATTCCTAAATATTACAATATTTTAATAAATAGTATTATGATTTATTACCTACTACAGAAATAAAAAATATACATTTATTGTTATAATAAATTAGTCATTGGATTTTAAAATCAAAAAGAATTTAATATTGTGACAAGTATTGTAATATAAAGTTTTTAATTTTTATATATAATATTTAAAATGTTTAAAAAATGGGACACACTTTTCGCTACCACACCTAACTAAAATATCTGTTTAATTAAATCGTACTGCTGTTAAATAATGCATAAAATGCGGAAATAATATTTATCTGTTTTCCTCACTTCCTCTCTCTCACTCTATCTTCCCGTATCCATCCATCTCACTTCCCCTCATCGTATATCCCGCCACTTCTTACCTACATAATTCCAGAAAACATTTGCAGCTCAACTCATAGTAAACAGCAATATCTACGAAGGTACCTATATAATATTATATGTGATATGTCATACAATAGTCTATTAGGTATAGTCTTTATTCTTAATTTACGACCTAGGTACGTATATGTACGTATAGGTACAAGATTTCAAATATAGTAATCGCATATCTATTTTAATAATCTATTATATAATGTAGGTAAAATATAAGGTATAACTAACGTTTAAATAGTTTATATATATATATATATTGGAAACTGTTAATTAAATAATTACTGCCGTTCTATTATTTCACAATATATTATAGTCATTCAAAAGTAGTTATTATACTTATACATGCTTGTTCGATTATTGTACAATTATTAATTATCTACCATGTATACGCATTTTGTCCATTTTGAATTGCCCATCATATACAACTAATAAATATTAAGTATGTATATACCTGTAAATCATAAGATCACATTACGTGTTTATCGGTGGATAGCACTTAATAATATGATATTATGAAAATCATTTCTAAATTTCTAGACGAATTACAGAAAGTAATATCGTGTTGAAAGTGGCATATTAATATAGGTTCACCATTGACTGAATAATGCACT